CATACTGAACTCAGGAGTTTCGTCATTTCCAAGACATTTAAAACACCGCTGCCACCGCGGCGTCGCCCGACTGTCCGCGAAATCTGTGTACTACAGTTTCTTCTTCATGACGCACAGAGACTTGATCTTTACGAGAGTACGGTAAAGATGGTTTTCGTGCTCTCTCTCTCTCTCTCTCTCTATATATATATATATATATATATAAACACCAATCTTTACAGATAGGGCGCAAAAAATAACCATGGGTGAACGAAAAAATATAGGTATAAAAACGGGGAAAATAAAGCAGTCAACTTCGAGGAGTAACAATTTTTGTTTGTTCACTGCACGCCATTTTGTGTTTTTTTTTCGTTTTTGTTTATTTTTGGAATTGTAAACAAGAGGTGATGCATTCACGCCACTGACTTCGGTTCGATGCCATATCCCGCAGTATCTTCAGCCAAAGACGATCTGAATCTTTGGGGCCCCAGCCGGGAAGCCGAGAAACCCCAACGGAAGCCAGATCCGAGCACAATCTCTTTAACCCTCTGCGCCACGTCATAGCCTTTCCACCTCGTTGTTTCTTCCAGTCTGGACCGATGTCTGCGAGTAGTGCACAGTGTGGTAGACGGTACTCAGGCATTTCGTAGGTCGTGCCCTAGCCACCTAAGACGATGCTGTGAAATTATTTTGCCCAAAGGAAAACTATCTGGTCCTAGCACCCGTCGTCTGACTTCACCGTTATTCACGCGATGCTCCCACTTTACGCGGGTGATGTTGCGCACACAACGGTTGTCGGAGACTGATAGCTGTTGGACGTGATCTGCACGGAGAGACCCGGTCTTGTAGCCATAGAGCAACGCGGTGCGTACCGTTGCGCAATACACATGCCCTTTTAGTGAAAGGAATATGTCGCACCGGCGCCAGAGATGCCGCAGATTAGCAAACGGGGATCTAGCTTTGATCACGCGTTGAGAGATCTCCTCGCCCGCACCTCCGCCAGCCTTTATGCAACTCCCAAAGTAGAGAAGTCTTTCGACTACTTCCAGAGTGTCATTATCCAATGAAAGTGCAGGTCTAGGTTCCTGCCAATCTTGCAACAACACTTTGAAGGTGCAAATGATATACCATAACACGCGAGCATTGTGCAAGTTTGATTGATTGACCGGGCAAGCAATGCCGAGGTTAGGCAAAGAAAATTCAGTTGTCTATCACACGCTAACGCCACAGTGTTACGCGTGTGCAACCTGATAGGTTTCCTCTGTGTACCAAAGAATTTGGTCAGTGGAATGAGGGATGAGGCTATGAAACTATTACCGTCAATGGGCGGGGGCATGAAAACACTGGCTTGCTTAGTTTGCTTCCCCGGTTACGAAATTCACGATCAATAATGGAAAAATACTGAGGGGCTACAGCTGGATATGGTAACCACCGGGGCTCTTGGATCTACTCGCATCCAATAAATGTGAATGCATTCGATATTTTGCATTCACTGCCATCTCAATGATCTATCTATCTATCTATGGTCAGCACGAACATGTAGGCTCAGTGATTGTGCTAACCGAGACTGAGCATTCGTACCCTATCCGTTTTAACACAGTTTCTCCTACACTCTCCCTCTCAGAGAACCCCGTACTAAATCACTTCTTTGTTTTGAAAGTAATTACCCAAAATTATAAGCCTTATGTTAAACCGTACAGGTCGATTCTAGAAGGCATTTGTTGTGTATCACACACACACACACACACCATCATAAAATGCCTCTAAATCAAATTGGCCATTGTTTTTCTTTTTTGAGATCTGTTATCATCTATTATTGAGCTGTGTCCATTGTGTGCGCGTTACGTGAGACCAATAAAGCTGCGAGAAGATTTGTCACTCCCCGGGAATATGGGTCGGTCCATGGACGACAGACTCGCGCGTTGACCTGTGGACGAGAGAGAGAGAAATGTGTGTGCCAGTTGCGGTCCATGCGAAATTTGTCCAAGTTGTACATATTTTTGCTCCATCAACAACCCCCACACCACCAGTCACCCAGTTCATGTGTGAACCTGAATTTCCTTGTTTCTCTCTGCTCATTTGCTCCCCCCCTCGCCCGCCTGCCGTGCAACCGCGCTCGTCTGTCTCACTCTTCCCTCCGTTGAAGGCGTTTCCGTGACCTATGTTCGCAAAGCGATCACCGTAAGTGCTTGTTTTGCTCAATTTCAGCACACACGCACGTTATTTTCAATGTGCGTTTTTGTGTGGAAGAAGTATCGGGGCGAATTCTTGTGTATCGTCGAGAATCTGTTTAGCATAGTGAAGATACAATAAGCACCTCCCTCTCTCTCTTATTACAGCTGGTATAACCGCTCCAAAGGTTTGTCTGATTTGCTGAACACTTTCCTACTACATCTGGTCCCATAAGTTCCTTGCCTTATGCGATTCACTAATCCAAGTCCTGGGACTCAGCTCCTCTATTTCTAATATTAGGTACGCTGATGGGACCCACCTGACAATGGAGACGGAGATTA